AGTGGGTGGGTGGGGCAGAAAGAGAGAGGGAGACACAGAATTCGAAGCAGGCTCTAGGCTCTGAGCTGTCAGCACAGAGCCCAACATGGGGCTCCAACCCACAAACCATGAGATCATGACCTGAGCTGAAGTCAGATGCTCAACCAACTGAGCCACCCAGGCACTCCAGGATATTCTTTATAAAATGTAAATCTGAGAATATTCTCCTGTCTAAAACCATCCAGTGTTTTCTACTGTTATGAGAATAAAGTCAAAAATCATAACCATGGCCATTGCAGCCTTAAGCAAGCTGCCTCTGCTTATTTCGTTAACTTAACTTTCTAACTACTGACAAAACCTCTCCTTGACCAAATCTGAGTCTGCCTCCTCTGAGCCCTCCTCTCAGCTAGGCTCTGATGTTGGACTCCATCGTTGGTCCACTTAGTCCAGTTTTTGTTGTTGTTGTTGTTGATGTTGTTGTCACTTAGTCTAGTTTTAGCAAGAATTTGGCTGTCAGTGAAAATTTCTCATTTTTGGCACTTAATCATCCTCTAGATCTGATAAAATTCCTCATCCTCCACTGTCAATGTGTTATCAACCTGGCCTGGCTTCAGTAAGAATTACGCTGAGTCAGTCTAGTAAGAATCTCTCTTATGCCTGATGTTTCTTTCCTCTTAGTTAATTTTCCATTCACTGATCCTCACCCTACACTTTGGCTATAATATTGCCCCCTCAATTGTCCTTGGTGAATTAGAAGTTGAGGCTGATCTCTCTCCCCAACTTCAAAACCCCCATTGCAGCAATCCCTCTTAAAGTCTTCCTTATGTTTTTAATAAATGTCATGAATAATTTTTTCTTTAACACGGCTCTCCCATAATTTTTTAGTTTCAGTTAACTGGACTATTTTCTCCCACCTCAAGACCTTTGCATATGCTATTCCTTTGCCTATGAATTTGTTTTCCCAACTGCTGTTGTCTTTCAAACTAAGCGTCATTTTCTCACAGATGTATTACCTGTACCCCAAGGCTGTTAGCTTTCATACTAGATGTTCCATGGCACCTTGAATTTCTGAACACTCTTCACACTTTCAATTTGTTGTTCATTGTGAACTCCATATGGATAAAGGCAACGTTGGTCTTGTTTGCTGGTGTCCTCAACACGTACTATTGATGGGGACATAGTAGACACTCAAATATTAGCTGAAGGTAGGAGTAAACACCTAAAGTAAACTCCAACATAAGAACAATAAATTCAAACAGAACACAAACATACAAAAATGGAGTTTATAATCATTTTTATGTTCACTTATAATTTTAGTATGGCATTAACAACATAGAAACTGAAGACTGACTTAGTGTTTAATTTCTACCAACTGCAGTTTTGGTGTCATTCTATTAAGACATAAAAGAGGTTTTCAAAAGATCCTCTAACTTGACTAATACTGTAAAATATTAATGATGGTGTTGACTGATGCCCAGCTCATCAATAGGCTACAAAAAAGAACATATTCACTTTTCAAAAAAAGTAACAAATCAAACCTCAAGCCAGAATATAACACTGTGTATATTCTTTTCATAACATAATACTGCAGAGTATTCTTTTTCTTCTAGCATCTACATTCGCAGCATTTCAGTGGGACAAAAAAATCTTAGGTGACAAAAAAGTAAGTTAAGCAATTTGCTTTCTTTTTGTGGAGCTTCTAGTTACTATTGGCACTCGAGAAAAATTAATAGTTGTTTTGGCTTTCAAAGCTTTTTTAAAGTATTTAAAAATTGACTGAAGGCTAGAGGAAGGGGCTAAGTTGTGTTTTTCTGTACCAGCAGAAACCATAGGAAACTCCTGTTTTAAAACAGTAGCAGCAGGTTTATCCAAAGGCTTAGGGCTTGTCACCCATTCACGGCAGTGGTGCTTTATCCAGGCCAATAACTGAACATCACTTCCCAGCTGGTGTCCTACATGATGTTCAGAGTCAATAAAGGCAACAGCATATACTTTGTTCATCACTTCCCACTTTTTACGAACAAGTAAGTCCATAAAAACCAAGCCTCCATAACCATGTACAATGAAGGCAACATCCTTGCCTTCAGTCTTTGAAATGAAGTAATCCCAAATGTAAGCCATGTGTTCTTCAGGAGTGTTGCTGCATCTTTTAGGGGTGCACTGGAGAGGTTGCTGGACAGATAAAAAGTTCTCTGCTGGAACCATTTTTAGGGAAGATGACTCCTTAGTTTGGGTTAAAAGGCCTTTCCGCTCTTCTTCCATGTTTAGGTCGATGAAATTGTCATTCGGGTTTAGCACAATTACATCATAATGTGCCTGCAATGCCATTTGAATACATGGTATCTGACTTCCATGTTGGAGACCATGATGTATTATTGCCTGCTGACTCCACTGACCAGCTCTAAAGACTCCTTGGTCTTGAAGAAGAACAAGAAGAACAGAACGATGACTTGTTAATGCTCTCTCACTCATGAAAAAGAAGCTTCTTGGTTCTTTATCAGCCTCTGGTGGGATATATACTTTTTGTAATTTGCATACTTTCTCCAAAAGCTCATAAATATATTGTTCAAGCAAATAGCCAAGGGCCTGGTAGCGCTTGCTGTTCCTCTCAAAGACATTTTTATAATAGTTAAAAACAAAAGGCCTTTGTGTCTCAGTGTGTCTCAATTCAGCTTTTTCATTGAAGTCATATTTAAGTTCTTCTAGTAAGTCAGATTGTTCAATAAATTTTTGGAAGCTCAGCTCCCGAGTAACTGGTAACCACTGAAAATAAAAAAGCAATAATCTGTCAGTGGTAGAAAAAACTAAAAATATCCACTTGTTAAATTATTCCTGTGGGAAATCATTCTAAAATTAAGTACTTCACTAATACATTACCCTTTTAATCTAAATTAAGGACTGAGTTAAGGACTTAATCTGAGTTAAGGACTTTAACTCAAAATAATTGTGAATGATGCAAAGTAGTAAGGGATAATTAAGTATGGGAAAATGGCCAGACCATACATAATGACAGAACTGACCCACAATCCATAGCAACTTGCCCAGGAAGCCAACCCCTTATCTCCAATAAATAGCCCAGGAAGCCAGCCTGCTATAAGTCAGATTTGTACGAAGTCAGACTATACTACCTCTAGTGACAATCCAGCAAGCTAAACAATAACCTCTGTTACAACTGGCCACAAATGGCCAGGACTTGACTAATAACTGAGAGCTTTCCTAATTTTTATCCCTGCTTCCAAATTAGGACCCATGAGAAAAAGCCAAATATGCATCCCTAACCAATCACACAGGATATTCTGCTTTTAGTTAGCCCACCTGCAGCTTCCCCAGGCCAACAGCCTCCAATCAGGACATACCAACAGCCTTTCTTATTTTCCGCTATAAAGCTTTCCCAGTTTTCTGCCTTCGAGTCTCTGCCAAAATGCAAGTGATGTGGTTGACTACATTGATATAGCTAGCACAGAATAAATAGGTTTTGCTTTTCTCATTTGGTTTGGCTTTATTTCCACAGTCAGCATTCAATAATTTTTGCTGTTAAATAAATGGCAGGGGATGGCAGTGGGGGTGAAATGCGAACCAGGCAGTACAGGTTATGATCAATTTATCTTACAATGAAGATATGGTATTTCAGATGTCTGAGAAGAAAAAAGTGGCTGACTAAAAAGTTAATTTAGACAGTTATTGTGGACAAAGCCTAAAAGAAAAGACTTTGAAAGGTTAAGTGGCTTGCCCTGAAGATTATTCATTAAATTATTATTAA